AAATTGATACATTGTAATATAAACCGCGGTTTATAATAGGACTTTAACGGTAATAAACCCAGTAATGTATAAGGTACATGGTCTTGTGAAAGTGACAGTAATAAAGCCAGTAATGTATGGTACATAGTCTTGTGAAAGTGACTGTAATAGACCCAGTAATTTAAGGTACATGGTCTTGTGAAAGTGACTGTAATAGACCCAGTAATATATGGTACATGGTCTTGTGAAAGTGACTGTAATAGACCCAGTAATTTAAGGTACATGGTCTTGTAAAAGTGACTGTAATAGACCCAGTAATGTATGGTACATGGTCTTGTGAAAGTGACTGTAATAAACCCAGTAATGTATAAGGTACATGGTCTTGTGAAAGTGAATGTAATAAACCCAGTAGGGTAAGGTACATGGTCTTGTGAAAGTGACTGTAATAGACCCAGTAATGTATGGTACATGGTCTTGTGAAAGTGACTGTAATAAACCCAGTAATGTATTAAAGGTACATGGTCTTGTGAAAGTGACTTTAATAGACCCAGTAATGTATAAAGTACATGGGTTTGTGAAAGTGATTGTAATGATAATCTCACCGTCATCAGGGGACATCATAATTTCTTGAATACCACCGTCTTTCACCATGTACGACAACTGTACATACCACTTATACCTAAAATTCAGAATTGTATAAACATGTGTTACTTATTGATAAGATGACCTTCTCACGAGTCAACATTATTCTTTTGTAGACTGAAACAAAATTATTTTTCTGTTGAAATGTTGAAAAAAATTCATAGTATACTATTTGTGGGAGGGGAATTGAACTTCAAAAGCAAAAAGCAGACATTTGTAGGAAATCTTCACTAGGACTAATTTTAAAGATTTGATGTTGTAAGTATACTATTAAATTAAAATCACTGGTTTGTGAAGGGAGCAGTAGGTTCTGTGGTTATATAACTTACTGGGTTTAATTTTAGGAGATTTGATGTTGTAGAGATACTCACTAGGTGTAGGAAACAACATACTCAAAGTTTAACTTAATCACTACATTTTAATTTAGTGTATTTATGAAAATAAAATGTAGTGAATAATTAAGCCCTATATTGTATTCAGAAAGATACGAGTGGTCAAAAGTTACGAGTGGTCATTTTTGTAACTTGATGTTTTCGTAACGCGATGTTCGTAACTTAAACAATTAAGCATCTCTGAATAGAGATTCAGAAAGCAAAAAAAAAAAGAGTTGTGAACAGAAATACATCTTTTTTGTTGATAGCTTTATATAATGTAGTGTTGCTAAAAAAAAAAATTTGTTTTTGGTTTGAGATGTTGAATAATATAATTTGGTGAACATTTATGCATATTAGTTTTTTTTTAACAATTTTTTTTCTTTAATGTTTTTCAAAAAAAAAAAAAAATGTGAGCAACCCTTTTTGAGCTGACACATCCACTGACCACAAATTTTTTTTTTTTTCAGGAAACTCAAAAATATAAAAAAAAAAATCAGCTATTTTGGAAAGCAAAAAATATAAAAACGCGAGTTCTCAAAATGTATAAAAGATTTTCACAAGATAGCTACGTAATTGTGTTATTAACATCTGCTTGCAAATCACAGAGGATTATGGGTAAGTCATTGCAAGGAGCTATCCGTGTTCCCTCCGAAAATATGATGTCGACGCAAAAAGTTCACTGACCCCATATCCCCGTACTTGTCATCAACAACCGCATCAGGATCGATTAAGAAATGTTTCTGTTCGGCTATAGCTGTATTTTCGGAGGTTCGTGCAACTGTGACGACTGGATATCCCATTTGTAGCGTCCATGTGTCCATTATTTGTTTCACGTCATGATCTCCAACTCCTACGTCAGCCTGGAATGAACATAATAAAAATGTCTGGTACTCTGGTACGATACACCGAGGACTTATAAGAAAAGGGTGAACAACCATATGTATGGCGACACCTCATGTGATCTCACAAGTCTATTACCGGTAAAAGTATTTTAAAAAGCAGTGGTCATCCCACTGCCTCCAGTTCGATATGGCACTCATAGCGACGTACACAACATGTGTGAAATACATTGTTTGTTTACATGAAATTCGAACACGTGCTGTGCGACGACCACCGTCTGACCCTTCAAGGTACTCAAAATTGTTGAAATACTATAAATTACACAGCTATGTTCATTGGTTTATTATCTGAAATCATGAAGCTATTGTCTCATTGCACCATGAAATAACATTCTTTTGTGCGTTTTGAGCTATTTTTTGAAAAATTCCATAGAACACACAGATTTTTAAAATAATTCAGGAAAACATACCCAATCATTAAGAATACACGGTATAATTTTTTTCAGCCTACACAAATGTATGTCATCAGTCTGCAATTTGGGATATGGCATAATATCTCTACCGTAAGAACCTATGGTAAAAGCACTACAATACTGACAAAATGGCAACTACCCACTGAAATTAAACAATCATTTTCTCAAAAATATAGGCCGGTCAACGCAAATTCTTTTAAATCAAAATCCTTATATTTATGATGAAATGAATTAATTCTGGGTGTTTACATGAGTAGAATTGAGTATCTTAACACATCGCTCACACTCCATGGAGGTGTTCAAACAGTGTTAACATTTTGAGCGCTATGTTCGTTTCCTTCGAGGACTATTCTACTTGTGGGATTGAACTGGCTGTCACAAGAGATGAACAAAGCCTGTTAGAACAAACGACCAATGAAATCAAAGCCTGTTAGAACAAACGACCAATGAAATCAAAGCCTGTTAGAACAAACGACCAATGAAATTGATTTGTTGCATCATCAGGGACGTGACAATTCTACAAATGGGTCATTTTATTCGTACCTCAGTGAGGGCTGCCCACAAATCATTTGACGTCGCGGCTTCATAAGAATGTCTTTTCAAGAACAACGTCAATCCTTCCCTGAAGACTGCTTCACCAAGAATATAGTTCATCATTCGTATAATAGATGCACCCTGGGAAGAAAAAAAACATAGCAAATTTATTAGAGCCTTGCCTTGGTAAGAATGACTCTTATTTGTGATTGGCTCTAAAATTCTCAAAAATTGGGAAGACTAAGATGTTGACTTCAGACAAAAATGTTATAGCACTACAAATAATTTGAGTTTATGTGTATGACATTATCAGTTTATGTGTATGACATCATCAGTTTATGTTTATGGTATCAGTTTATGTGTATAACATCATCAGTTTTTGTGTATGACATTTTGACATCATAGTAAATCATTTTTTGTTTAATGCAAGTCCCCACATTATGCGAGAAATCAAACATAAAAAACAGGACAAATAAAAGTCATCGTTTCACTTTCAAAACACTGCATGTGAACTAACAATTGTGAAAGAATTTTTTGGACATTTCCATGCTAAATAGTGTTCTATAGATGAGGGTTTACTTTTGATGAAGTAAGGGTATCCCATTCCATATTCCCTTCTGAAACATTGGCATTTTGATATTTAAAAAAAAAAAAAATTCAACTTCAAAAGCAAAAAGCAGACATTAGGTTTGCGCCTTTTACGCATAACACCAGATTTCGCAGTGAACGAAAATTACCAATTTATATGTAGAGTTATGTGTACAGCACTTCATCAGTTTATATGTAGTGATACATCATCAGTTTATGTGTAGTGATACATCATCAGTTTATGTGTAGTGATACATCATCAGTTTATGTGTAGTGATACATCATCAGTTTATGTGTAGTGATACATCATCAGTTTATGTGTAGTGATACATCATCAGTTTATGTGTAGTGATACATCATCAGTTTATGTGTAGTCATATATCATCAGTTTATGTGTAGTGAAACATCATCAGTTTATATGTAGTGATACATCATCAGTTTATGTGTAGTGATACATCATCAGTTTATGTATAGTCATACATCATCAGTTTATGTGTAGTCATACATCATCAGTTTATGTGTAGTCATACATCATCAGTTTATGTGTAGTCATACATCATCAGTTTATGTGTATGACATCACTCTGCTACATGTTACATGCAATAAACAGGTTGTTTACCTTACTGTAAGAGATGGTATCAAAGATTTCGCTGATTTCTTCAGGTTTGTTGACCGGTACGAATATTGGATGGGATGATCCAAGTCCGTCCAACTGAAACACGCGATGTAAATCTTCATTTACAAACTGATCCATCTGTAACAATAAAACATAAATTATTATTTCATTTCAGCAAACTTTCAAATTCAAAATAAACGTAATCAGTTTATGTATGACATCATCAGTTTATGTACTGTTTTGGGCTTAAAAAAAAGCATTCAATCGCAAAACACTGTTAGCAGAATTATAGAGCTAAAAATACAAAATCAGTGGCTGTCTGCTAAAAGTATGACAATGTAGTGAATATGATAATAAAGGGTACTGGCATCACTGTTAAGTAGAAGTGACTGACAAAAATTTATTCTCAGAGGAATCTGAAATCATCATTTTATGTATATGACATCATCAGTTTATGCATAGAACATCATCAGTTTATGTATATGACATCATCAGTTTATGCATAGAACATCATCATTTTATGTATGGGACATCATCAGTTTATGCATAGAACATCATCATTTTATGTACTGGTATATGGCATCAATTTATGAATAGAACATCTTAATTTTATGTATATGACATCATCAGTTTCATACCAACCACACGTAACGCGTCCATGCGTAAACATGCAAAACGTAAACAAGTGTGATGATCTATAGTCAGTGTAGATGACAAATTTATCATCATTAGTTAGTTAGTTAGTTATTTACTCACCATTTGCCAATCCGGTTCATGCCGGTTTACCCCAATATATTCCACATAGCTAGCAAAGCCTTCATTTAACCACAAGTCATCCCACCAGGCTGGAGACATCAAGTTACCAAACCACTACAAAGAAATACTACAGTTTATATTAACTCTTTGTGCATATTAATTAGGTAATTTGCATAAAGGTATACTTTTGTCACCTTTTACAAAATACTTCTTTGTACTGTCCCAAGGTGCCTGAATATGAAATTTTGAAGCAATTGGTTGAGCCGGTTTATTTTTTTACCAAAAATGGCAAAACTAAAATTTGAGAATTGAAAGATTCATCACAAAATGAACAAATCTGATTAAGATCTACCCAAGGTACCCAAGTAAAAACATAAAAGCAATTGGGCTAGCCATTTTCAAGAAGTTAACTGAAATCATCATTTTATGTATATGACATCATCAGTTTATGCATAGAACATCATCAGTTTATGTATATGACATCATCAGTTTATGCATAGAACATCATCAGTTTATGTATATGACATCAGTTTATGCATAGAACATCATCAGTTTATGTATATGACATCATCAGTTTATGCATAGAACATCATCATTTTATGTATGGGACATCATCAGTTTATGCATAGAACATCATCATGCAGGTTCGTGGGCACTTGGGAGTGAATTTTTTTTTTTTTTTGCTTTTTATTATTAAAAAAGTCTTGGCTATAGAATGTTGAAATTTTGTAGAATTGTGAATAGTGGAACATACTCAAAAAACGATTTTAAAATATAGATAACAGGTGCAAAATTATCTCTTTTGAATGCTTAGCAAGATTTAGCAAGGCTGTACATAAATAATGAAAAAAAAAAATTGGTGAAAAAAAGAAATGACGGGATCTCCACATTATGCACTGTATTTAACTTTTTACAAAACGATAATACATTTAAATTTGAAACTGTAACAGTCATTGTAATTATGAGCATTAGTAAACTTCTTACTGAGTGAATTGTTATGCAAATTAGCAATTATCTCAGCTTTTTTTTAGTGCACATTCCAGAACTTAAAAAAAAAAGCTCCTAGACGCTTTGATCTTTTGTTTCGAAATTTTCACAAATGATTGACAATGTGTTTATCTTCAAAACGCCGTCGGGCATTGTTTTTAGTTGAATAGTGTTACAGCAATCGTACAGACAACTAGCCTGGGTTTTAATTTATGCATAAACTTGAAGTAGTGAAATTTGAGCTGTTGCCCTACAAAATTGACAACTGGTAGACAGTTTTCAAGACGGCGCTTTCTTCATAGTAAACATATGTACCCATAAACCAATTTTGACAGAAAAACAAAGCATGGTTATAACGGTACGTTTAGAAGCAAATTTTTTTTAAATCACTTTTGACCAAAAAAATCACATTTTTGTGCATATTTCAAACTACAGTGTCCATAAAAATAAACTACTAACAAAACTTTAAAATTCATACAATAAGCTTTCCGAAAATATATAGTTTTGTGAACAAGGGAGGTCATCTTGGTTTCCTAATTAACCAATTAAAATACCTGTCAGGTAAACTGCATCTCTACCTTAAAACAGCATTTGTTAACAAAAATGGCAAAAATTTTTCACTAAAATTAGAGAAAATGGAGCTAAAAAATATAGGTATTTAAATTAGATAACCATATATTTTTTCAAAGCAAATGTCCTACTGAAAAAACAAGTATTTTTTTAATTAACATTTCACCACCAGTTCCTTCTTTCCATCACAAATTAAAACAAGCAGCCTGTCGGCTGAGATAGCTCCGCTGTTAGCAATGCACATTTCAATTAAAGAACAGAAGATATCATTAGAAAATGAACAAATCTGAGAGAGGTCCACGTGTAGTACCTATATATGTAATATCAAAGCAATTGGACTTGCGGTTTTCAACAAGAAGTCGAAAATATCACTTTTTACCAAAAATGACAAAAATATTCACCAAAATTAGAGAATTAAAGATATCATCATGAAATGAACAAATCTGAGAGAGGTCCACATGTAGTACCTATATGTATAATATATCAAAGCAATTGGACTTGCGGTTTTCAACAAGAAGTCGAAAATATCACTTTTTACCAAAAATGACAAAAATATTCACCAAAATTAGAGAATTAAAGATATCATCATGAAATGAACAAATCTGAGAGAGGTCCACATGTAGTACCTATATATGTAATATCAAAGCAATTGGACTTGCGGTTTTCAACAAGAAGTCGAAAATATCACTTTTTACCAAA